AAATCTCGGAGCAAGCCCAAGAGCCATGTTTAGGGTTTAGGGTTCACTCGATCCCCAGGGTTCTCCGCTGAAGAATGCTCTGCAAGAACAGCTGAGGGAGTGATTTGCTCTTTGGGATGGGATGGGATGGGGGGGGATATTAACGATCCTTCGCACAGCATCCACTTTTCTCACATGTTCCAGGGTGCCTTCTTGAAAGCGTCGCTCGGTGCCACGACTCCCGACACTTTGCATCGGAAGACAGCAAGTGCACGGAGCACTCTGTCCAGACCTGGCTGCTTCAGAAGGTAGTGTGCAGCCAGCACGTTGACATGCTCATGCTTGCCCGGACGGCCTCCCAAAAGATTCATTCTCCTGAGCTGCTTTTTCCCGGCACCAGCTAATGCTTCAGCACATTGATCTCCGCCAGTAATTGCAAAATGCGCCAACCGCTCCTGAACAGCCTGGGTTTTCAGGCTTCGCAAAACTGTCGCAGCATGAGCCGACAGCCCTGTCTTGGAGATGACCGACAAGGGCGTGAACACATTCCGGAGATGCGAGACACCAGTGGCACATGGTATCTGCTTTCCGGTCGCACACTTCTGCAGGGCGGAGGAACCATCACAAGCAGCTACATGCCTGTCAGCTTGCAACTTCTTCGTGACCAGAGGCCAGCACTCAGCGAAACTTTCAGGTCCAGGCGAACTCCCGGAGCCCGCAACTTTCGGTGGCAAAGGTAAGATGGCGTACTTCTTTTTCATCGTCACGGATCGCAATCAGAAGATGAAGAAGCCATGCCGCCTGAAGATCTGGGACTGTTGTCTAGCTCATGTTCCATGCAGGTCGCTTGCCGCTGGAAAGCAACCACCTCTGCTTCATGCGCTTGCAGCTGCATGGAACGGTCCACGAAGCGTGCCCAGGCAGAGCTCGTGTTGGTGACAGGCGTGATATTCGTAGCCGTGACCTTCTAGGGTGTAGAGTTAACGGGTTATGCGTAGTTTAGGGTTTAGCGGTAGGGTATACTAGTACATGGTAAACGGAATATAACGTATCAGGGGCTACGGTCTCGCATCTGGGTTCTGGGTTTACGTCTTAAGCTTCGCATTGGGGCTGCGGTTCTGAACAAGGTCTTGCCACCGCAGCAGGCCTCCATACAGGAATCCGAAGAAACGGAGCCGACATCGAAAGACTCAGACAAAGACATACTTTCGGCGCCATGCGAAGCTGAAGAAGAAGATGACAGTTCCTCGGAGAGGAAACCCGACGACACGGAATAAGTACATACTTTCGAACACCAAGAAACATTACTTAGAAAACTAGTGCGGAATGCAACACAAGAACGTAGTCGGTGGCCAATGCGTCCATGTCCAAGTCTGCGCCAAAGATATCGATCCTGCCTGACGGTTGCACGTCGAGTGCATCTGCAGACGGATCCTCAGTGACACCAGCCGGTGTCACACCGGAATGAGCCTCTGCGAAGGTGACATCCATGTTCGCAATGAAATACCGCAACTCTTGGCACTGCATGAAGGGCTCGGGGCAAGCACGGAAAGAATTTAGAGGCCCGAAACATGCCTCCAAACGTGCTTTGCAGGACACAGCAGTAGCCAAGGAGGTGGAGCTGACCAAACCACTTCGTATTCTTTCCAAAGCTAACGCTGACAAGAAGGACCCGGCCAAAATCAGATGTTCCCATGGGATGCCTCCGGGGCGACAGTCCGTCAAGATCCCTCGAAGAGCCACGAACTCAGCCTGTCCTGCTGGCCATGGACATGTGAGTATCTCCAGGTGGCACTGCAAGTCTTCCTTGCTGAAACGGGCCAGCCACGGCAAGACACTCAAAGTCCGAGGATCATCTTTCAGCACAAGGGCGAGGCTGAGAGACAGACCGAGCCATCGAAGGATCATGCTAAATCTTAACCAAGTTTCTATTATAGGATCCTAACCATAACATTGGTTAACCAAAACAGCAACTACAATGGAGACTGTAGGTTCTCCTCACCTGTTGTTCTCTGACCAAGCACGAAAAACCCTGACTCCCAGAACTCCGTCAAGCCGGTGAACACACGAATACATCGCAAAAACCA